TCCATTATTTTTAAAAGGAAAATGGACAGTAATAGAACATGTGTATATTTCATGTAAAGTGGGGTGAAATAATCGAACAATACATAACTCAATGACAAAATTGTGTTCTTTTTATTATCAAGATACAATAATTTGACTTATTTATAATATATACTGGAAAATAATCATTTTCCTGAAAAAAATAATCCACAAACTGAAACTTTATTTGCCTGTAAACTTAAGATGAAGCGACATACTTCCAGATGTTAAATTGAGTTCCTGAAAAGTACTTCCGGTATCTGAACTGAAATTTTCCGTTTTAGATTTTTTTGATTGGTCCGATTGTCCATGCAAGATACCGCTGACTTGCATTAACTGATCCTCACTTGTACGTTTATAACCGCGAACAGCATTTGAACGATGACCAGTTTTTTCAGTAATAAGCTGCTCGTCAATACCAGCTTCATAAAGTCGTGTTGCTGCTGTTGCTCTCAAAGAATGGTTGGTATAATGTCCATTGAAGCAAGCTCGTTTGCACAGGTTACCAACTGTCTGTTGTAGCACGTGAACGCCAACGGGTGAATCACAGTACCAACATATTGCCGTTGGCGCTTTAAGAGGTCGCAGGTATAAGGCATCTGTTTTACAATTTCTTGGACTGTAAGCAAACAAAATATACATTATGAATATATTACTAGAGGAAATGATAACATTTCTACTCGTTTCGACTTAATTAGCCTAGTCATACAGTCAAAATACAGTGTAATTTCTGAAAAATTATCTACTAACAGACAGTCTTTAAAAGTAGTAGAATCATTAATTAATTACAATTCATGTAATTTGATAACATGGTCATGAGAAAGGTAATTATGTATTTTAAAATGCTGTTGCTTAGGAGGGTACGTTTTTGAGTTTTACCAACAAAATGCTGGTAACTTATTATAAATATTATATATGTTGTTTCCTTTTTTTCTTTCTTGTATTTTTTTATGAAGTAATTTTTTGGATTTTTGTTTATTTTGGAAACTTCATAAATTACAAAGTGACACTTAAGTCCACAGCAAAAACAAAGCGAGAAAATTGCATATATGTGAATTTGCGAAATAAAGACTACAATTAATTCAAAGCCCCCATCCGCTCCGCACAAGAAGATATGAGCCGTGTCACGACAAAACCAACATAATGCGTTTGCGACCAGCATGGATCCAGACCAGCCTGCGCATCCGCGCAGTCTGATCAGGATCCTCGCTGTTCGCTATCGGTTTCTCTACTTGTTATAGAGTTTGTAAGTGAACAGCATGGATCCTGATCAGACTGCGCGGATGCGAAGGCTGGTCTTGATCCATGCTGGTCGCAAACCAATTATGTTGATTTTGTCATGACACGGCTCATATATTTATGTACATATCTTACATGTCCGCATTTATATTATTTCATCGCGAAAATGAAGATAGATAGAACTCTTGTTATTTCATCTCATCCAGTGAGTTAAAGGCACAGCATGCCTTAGAAATTATTTTTTTTTAATTCTTTAGAAATGACAGGCATGTTTTTAAAAGTAAATTAAGAGTTTAAACTATAATTATACAGATTGCGGCAAATAGCGGATGCCCCTCTTTTTTTATAATAACATGAAAAATGACCAGTTTTAAAAGTAACAGATTGTGGTCAATTGATAATATATTTTTGAGGCCATATACTCGGATAATACTTAAAGATATTTAGATGTAGAAGAAACCATTAAACAATCGAATAATTTATAAATGCTGAATAAAAAGTGCTTAAAAAATATACAAAAAATAAGTATAACTTACCGGAGAGAAATGTATTTTTCGTATATATTCACGGGGCATCTCTCGGGTTTGGCTAAGTTTTCGTATGCTCGTGTGATTTTTGGTGTATCTTACGGTGCTGAATTCCCCCTCTGTTTGTTTTGGGTACATCCTCTTGTTATTCTAAATAACGGCGATTTTGTAAGTCCCGTTTGACTGTGATTTGTCCATTTTCACCAACTCTAAGTGCACGATGTTAATGGCCTGCTCTTTAAGCAAAATGCAAGCCGAGCGTGTAAAGTAACGTATCAAGAAGCATTTGTGGCGTTTCTGTTTCAAGAATGCGTTTGTTCCACAGTTCATTCTCCTGTTCTTCACTTATAATAGCAGCGCTTCTTCGTTGCATACCAAGCCCTTGTTTGGATAGCTGCTTCATTTTTGCATCAAGAATACGCCTTAGTCCATCAAAAGCGGCATCATCTAGAAAGTTGATAAGTCTACCTTGCTGTCGAAGATGGTTTTGTATCGCAATTATAATCTCATATAATGTGTTGGGCTTATATTCTTTTCCAGATATTGTCCTCACTTCTGCTATGAAGTACCCCAGTGTTTCGTTCAGCACTTCGCTACTCATATTTATTAGATTGTTGTTTGGCACAAAAGAGTCTGTGTTTTTATTTCTGTTCTTCTGCCATAAGTCAAACATGTTAACTGCCCATTTTGATTTCTTTTCTGTCTTACTAGACAATCCACTTTTGACAAGGTTGTCTAAATCACTTTGTTTAAGTGGCACTGAAAACCTTGCTGGCTCATTTTGTTCGATGAGCTGAGTTGCTTTCAAAAGTTCCTCGTCCGAAATGTCTGAAAATAGGTCGCTTTTCAAATCAAACGACGGCTGGAGCTCTGTTTTTTGCTTATTGTCAGCCGATTCTACCATGTCTAATACTTCACTTAAAATTAAATTAAAATTAAAAGCGCTATGCGCCTCGATCTGACTCTCACATAATGGACAGTTTTTGGAGTTTCTCCATAACGTAATTCTGTCATTAAGTTCGTAATATAACAAAATGAACGCTTCAAGTTCATATGTATGAAACTATATACATGTAGCAGAAATCACATCATACTCCTGACCCTTTTAAAATGTTAATAAAGTTATAAGTGATTTAGTTTAAAACATTTTATGATGAACGATCATGTTTTATTCTAGAACACTTTATAAATATAGTTTCGGTATATGTATCTCACACTTGCCAACAATATACATATGTAAGTCTTTCGTGGTCTGTTGGGTATCCACACATTGCCCTTTGGACAGTTTCCCTCTCGCTAGTATGCCCCCTTTTTGCAATGGCGATCAACTGCCCCCTCATATCTTTGGAAGGGGCGGACATTTGTCCACCTTCCCTGTTTTAAAAAATATCTTATTGTTGAATTGTTTGCTACCATAATTCATCGCCTATTGTCGAAATTTCATTGTGCTTAACTCGTGCAAATTTGTGAAAGTCAAAATAGCATCCATAAATAAATAAAACTAAAATGGTTCCATTGGCAAACACGAGATGACAAGTCACAACGGCAAAAAGGGGGCATACGTCCGGGGGGCAAATGTCCTAGAATCTGAATTGTCGGATACGAAATACTATCAACATTAATTATTATTCATTCTTTAACATACTTTTTATAACGGATCTATTCACTTTATTATTTACAAATTGCACATTTAGCTTTTTTTATTTTTTTTTTATTTTAAAGGGGAAAGCAAAGTATATATTGTATTTATAAAAGCTTACCTGTTTATGCGTTGTGTTAAAAATAATATTTGTGCATTTCATAAAATTTCAAGCCAATGTAGTTTTAACGGTGTGAGTTGGATATCGGCCTCGTACATCGATCTTTCTGATTAGGAAAGACCTGGTCACGAATTTCATGAAACACCTCGAGCGCTACGCGGTCTCGGTGTCACATGAAATTCGTGACCAGGTCTTTCCTAAACAGAAAGACCTCGTACTCGGTCGATATCCTATACAGAAATACTAAACATTTAGGATTCTTATTACAGCATAATTATACCTAAATCTGTATTGTGTTCGGGTCTCTTATCTGTTGTTTATGGACAGTTAGCGAGCGTTGTGAAACCGAATGATTTTCGCTCGTGCATATGCAACTGCATCAACTATGTACAGCAGCTTGGAAAGAAATGTTTTCAATCATGGAACAGAATAATGTTTACAGCAAATGAAATCCACATGTAATCTCACTAATCTCACATGATTTTTAAATCAGCGGTGAGAGATAAATGACCATTAGACATCAACTGTTACGAAGAAATTACGCCTCGCACGAGGATCGAACCAGCGACCCCTGGGTTACAAATCCGATGCTTTCCCGATTAAGCAGGCGGACAATTACGACCATACATAAAATAAAAGCCGCATTGTCCTCTACTCATTAAAAACTGTTGAATGTATCGGTGTGAGGTTTATTACTTTACTAACAACACTTGAAATATCTTCACTAAGTTTGAGTCTTGAAGACTACTTGAAACATCTTAACTGAGTTTGAGTCTGGGACAACACTTGAAATATCTTAACTTAGCTTGAGTCTTGAACAATACTTGAAATATATTAATTGAGTTTGAGTCTGGAACAACAATTGAAATTACTTAACTTAGCTTGTGTCTGGAACAAAACTTGAAATATCTTTACTAAGCTTGAGTCTGGAACAGTACTTGAAATTTTTTTAACTGAGTTTGGGTCTGGAACAACAATCGAAATTTCTTAACTTAGCTTGTGTCTGGAACAACACTTGAAATATCTTTACTTAATTCAAGTCTTAACTAAGTTTGAGTCTGAAACAATAATTGAAATATCTAAAATTAGCTTAAGTATGGAAAAATACTTGATAAAGAGATTATGCCTTCAAAAAAAATTATCTTATCTAAGCTTGAGTCTTGAACAATACTTGAAATATCTGAACTTAGTTTGAGTCTGGGAACGTTGCAATCAATATAAATTTTGTCCTCATTATCCCAAATCTATATTGTATAACTCTTAGTTTATATTCTATACCATAATATTTATTCATCATTAGAAATATTTGTGTGCGATAATTTTTCTATATGTATGTTCTATATTTGAAAATATATTGTATAATTAAAATATTTATACTATAGATCTACTGAAAAATATTTATTCGATAATTTGAATCATGGGATAGAACACTTAGCATACTAAGCCCCGCCTATAAAGTAAGCACGATTAAACTAGACTATAAGTGTAGTGGAAATGATCAGCGTCCCTTGTAAATAGTGCATATGCTTAATCCTCCTTATAAATGTATATGTAAAAAATGGAAATAGATTTTAAAGTCTTCGTATAATAATGGTTTTTCATATGCCTAATAATTTAACCACGATATGAACCTATGTGAGGATATCATGTAAGATGCATTTACATAAAAAAATGACAGTCTAAAACTTTGCCCATGCGACCACGTGGTATTTAAGGCGACTTTTGGGGGTCTTAAAAAGGGACCACTTTAAACTTCCCCCCGATCATTTTCCCTCTTATCTTTAATGTATTAACAGGACTTTTGTCTCAACGGCGGACAACAGCGAAACCGTTAATTAGTCAAACTAAATTTGACCATTCAATCTTTTTCATTAAACGACCACTTTTCCCAATTTAAATTGTGTTTTTTAAGAAACGCCACCTCGTTATGTCAACAAGGTCAGGCAATCGAAAACACCAACAATAAACGTGTTGAAAAACTCTAATTTTCCCATAACCGTTTTAAAAGGCGTACTTGCAAATGAAAGTTAAGTATTACGCGCCGACGTGTATTATTTTATCAATAATATCGGAATAAAACCAATGCAAACACTCCGCCCATACTTGAGATTGGTTGTATACGCTTCGCTTGTTGACATTAAGACTGCATTGAATTGACCTTGAACTTGATCAGCCATTAAATTAATCGTAACAAATAGATGTTGTTTGTTAATTTTCAAATTGAAAAAAATGCACAACAGAAAAACATCTTCACTAACAGGGTTTTCGTGTTTGGAGACAAGGAAAAACAACGGAGAAGTTAAAAATTCTGGAAAAAAAGTCAAACATGTACGTAATGGATCAAAACTGTTTTGTCAATAAATATCAGAACGTTATTTTTACATTTGCATCCGTTTAGATTGTCGGAGCGTACTTATTATTCAACATTTTTATAAAAAAATGATATTGAAAAACAATCCCATCGAATAAAAAAGATGTCATTTATAAATTTTGACTTTTATATCATGCTGACTGTCTTAAGAGACCGTTTCATTAAGCGACCGTTTTTGGTGTTTCCCTTGCCCGGTCGCTTGATACACGTTTGACTGTACATGGAACATAAATCGGAATATATCCCCTATATGAAACGAAAAATACCAACAAGAAGATTTTTTTAAACGTTTTGTTCTAAGTGCCATTTTGTTGTTTTTGAGAAGAAAAATGAAAAGATCTAGTATTGCATATTTTTTTTATTTATTGTCGGATTTTGAAAATTTAAAAACTACTAAACGTGGCGTCGGGAGAACAACTCAATATCGTTAAAGATATGTGGATTTTAACATTTCCTTGCTTAAAAACCTAAGAAAACATTTGGAGAGAGAACAGTCTTTGTAACTTTTTTCAAAAATTGTTAAAATCAAAGTGTTCAATGTGACTTAGAACATTTTGTCTTTTAAGTTGAATTGATTTATGTCACATAAAACACTATGCTTTATCTTTAAAAGTATGCCAAAAATGTTCTAGGCTATTTATTCCTTGATTAGTAGTCTTTGAGACCACACTATTTCGTAGACCATATACATCTATGACAGCAGCAAACGACCATATTATATCCACCGCTTCAGCGACGAAATCTCCATCGCGACCGATTCTGCAAAAGCTATGGCCAGTGTGATAATAATTGCTTTAATATTTATTTTTTAAATTCCTTAGTAAGAATTGATTACACAGTCCTGTAGCTACTGTCGAACATACTTTATAATTTTCTCAGTCAATCGCCTGTCACTTTTCAACGTCTCTCTCGGCGATTGACGTCACCAACGTCCTTGAAAATTTCTTCTTTCTGCCTCTCCCTTATTTTTCTTTTTTTCAATTAATCAATTACCCTTTCTTAATCAGTTATTTTTATCAAAAACTGTGCTGTGGCTACCTTAACCTTAACGCGAGTTTTTCTTTTACAAGTGACATATGAATTGTGATTGCACAGATAAATGTGATATAACTAAAGTCATTTTTCTGACAAAGTCAAATATGGCTCATGGCGTTTCGGCGTATTTTGAAATCTAATTGTGTCATATTGTAAATTATAGCATAAAATCGGCTATTTTTCCCTATTTTGCCCATGTTATAACGGGACCAAAACCATGTCTTAACATAGTCACGCGCTCTTGTTATAGCCCGGTTTCACCTATGCGCAATACTTAAAACATGTTTGTGACGTCATCTTTTGTTGTATCTGTACATTAATGTGCCTATTGTACTAGCAGATGACGAAGCTATCCAATATTTATCAAGTAGGTATCCAATATATTAATATTGGATACTTTTCTATCCATTATTTAAAAGGAAAATGGACAGTAATAGAACATGTGTATATTTCATGTAAAGTGGGTGAAATAATCGAACAATACATAACTCAATGACAAAATTGTGTTCTTTTTATTATCAAGATACAATAATTTGACTTATTTATAATATATACTGGAAAATAATCATTTTCTGAAAAAATAATCCACAAACTGAAACTTTATTTGCCTGTAAACTTAAGATGAAGCGACATACTTCCAGATGTTAAATTGAGTTCCTGAAAAGTACTTCCGGTATCTGAACTGAAATTTTCCGTTTTAGATTTTTTTGATTGGTCCGATTGTCCATGCAAGATACCGCTGACTTGCATTAACTGATCCTCACTTGTACGTTTATAACCGCGAACAGCATTTGAACGATGACCAGTTTTTTCAGTAATAAGCTGCTCGTCAATACCAGCTTCATAAAGTCGTGTTGCTGCTGTTGCTCTCAAAGAATGGTTGGTATAATGTCCATTGAAGCAAGCTCGTTTGCACAGGTTACCAACTGTCTGTTGTAGCACGTGAACGCCAACGGGTGAATCACAGTACCAACATATTGCCGTTGGCGCTTTAAGAGGTCGCAGGTATAAGGCATCTGTTTTACAATTTCTTGGACTGTAAGCAAACAAAATATACATTATGAATATATTACTAGAGGAAATGATAACATTTCTACTCGTTTCGACTTAATTAGCCTAGTCATACAGTCAAAATACAGTGTAATTTCTGAAAAATTATCTACTAACAGACAGTCTTTAAAAGTAGTAGAATCATTAATTAATTACAATTCATGTAATTTGATAACATGGTCATGAGAAAGGTAATTATGTATTTTAAAATGCTGTTGCTTAGGAGGGTACGTTTTTGAGTTTTACCACAAAATGCTGGTAACTTATTTATAAATATTATATATGTTGTTTCCTTTTTTTTCTTTCTTGTATTTTTTATGAAGTAATTTTTTGGATTTTTGTTTATTTTGGAACTTCATAAATTACAAAGTGACACTTAAGTCCACAGCAAAAACAAAGCGAGAAAATTGCATATATGTGAATTTGCGAAATAAAGACTGCAATTAATTCAAAGCCCCCATCCGCTCCGCACAAGAAGATATGAGCCGTGTCACGACAAAACCAACATAATGCGTTTGCGACCAGCATGGATCCAGACCAGCCTGCGCATCCGCGCAGTCTGATCAGTATCCATGCTGTTCGCTATCGGTTTCTCTACTTGTTATAGAGTTTGTAAGTGAACAGCATGGATCCTGATCAGACTGTGCGGATGCGAAGGCTGGTCTTGATCCATGCTGGTCGCAAACCAATTATGTTGATTTTGTCATGACACGGCTCATATATTTATGTACATATCTTACATGTCCGCATTTATATTATTTCATCGCGAAAATGAAGATAGATAGAACTCTTGCACAGCATGCCTTAGAAATTATTTTTTTTAAATTCTTTAGAAATGACAGGCATGTTTTTAAAAGTAAATTAAGAGTTTAAACTATAATTATACAGATTGCGGCAAATGGCGGATGCCCCTCTTTTTTTATAATAACATGAAAAATGACCAGTTTTAAAAGTAACAGATTGTGGTCAATTGATAATATATTTTTGAGGCCATATACTCGGATAATACTTAAAGATATTTAGATGTAGAAGAAACCATTAAACAATCGAATTATTTATAAATGCTGAAAAAAAGTGCTTAAAAATATACAAAAAATAAGATAACTTACCGGAGAGAAATGTATTTTTCGTATATATTCACAGGGCATCTGTCGGGTTTGGCTATGTTTTCGTATGCTCGTGTGATTTTGGGCTGTATCTTACGATGCTGAATTCCTCCTCTGTTTGTTTTGGATACATCCTCGTGATATTCTAAATATCGGCGATTTTGTAAGTCCCGTTTGACTGTGATTTGTCCATTTTCACCAACTCTAAGTGCACGATGTTCCTGGCCTGCTCTTAAGGCAAAATGCAAGCCGAGCGTGTAAAGTAACGTATCTAGAAGCATTTGTGGCGTTTCTGTTCCCAGAATGCGTTTATTCCACAGTTCATTTTCCTGTTCTTCACTTATAATAGCAGCGCTTCTTCGTTGCATACCAAGCCCTTGTTTGGATAGCTGCTTCATTTTTGCATCAAGAATACGCCTTAGTCCATCAAAAGCGGCATCATCTAGAAAGTTGATAAGTCTACCTTGCTGTCGAAGATGGTGTTGTATCGCAATTATAATCTCATATAATGTGTTGGGCTTATATTCTTTTCCAGATATTGTCCTCACTTCTGCTATGAAGTACCCCAGTGTTTCGTTCAGCACTTCGCTACTCATATTTATTAGATTGTTGTTTGGCACAAAAGAGTCTGTGTTTTTATTTCTGTTCTTCTGCCATAAGTCAAACATGTTAACTGCCCATTTTGATTTCTTTTCTGTCTTACTAGACAATCCACTTTTGACAAGGTTGTCTAAATCACTTTGTTTAAGTGGCACTGAAAACCTTGCTGGCTCATTTTGTTCGATGAGCTGAGTTGCTTTCAAAAGTTCCTCGTCCGAAATGTCTGAAAATAGGTCGCTTTTCAAATCAAACGACGGCTGGAGCTCTGTTTTTTGCTTATTGTCAGCCGATTCTACCATGTCTAATACTTCACTTAAAATTAAATCCGATTCTATAGGGCTCAAACATCCGTTTTCTTTAGACTGTGTTATAAAAATACTATCGTCTGAATCAGACATTATTGCTGCTCGTTTTTTTCTTTCTTTCTTTTTTTAAATCCAGAACAACTTAATGATGGCAACTTTGTGTTACTTATGAATATTGTCACAACTATATATACAGTGTATTACATGAAAGCATGATAAACATGATTTTCTTACCTTTTTCATTTTCCCCCAAAAAGTAAAGCTGTCTAATAAGTTAACAATGGACGCATGATTTTTTACTCAATATTTTCATGGAATTCATGAATTAATACAATTGTCCATTATTTAGACAATAGAGAACATGTTTTAAGTAAGAGAAACTCCTCAAACTGTCCATTATGTGAGGGAATAAACAAATCTCGGCGCTATGCGCCTCGATCTGTTCATTCTCTCACATAATGGACAGTTTTTGGAGTTTCTCCATAACATACAGGGCCCAGTAAACAAACAAAAAATGACGATTTGGCCTGTTTGCCAAAGAGTCATGCGCTCTTGTTATATTGAAATTATTGATTCGAGGGCCTCAATCGCATTAAATACGGCGAGCAGCATTCAAGTAACTATGCCGGAAATACGGCGTATATACATCGCTGCTAATCTTGGTTGTCGCCCTTTCTAAGAAACGGACAGTTGTCAATGTAAACAAATTACTGGCATTCAGTTTAACCCTCCGATTAACTTACAAAACAAGATAACACAAAATGAATATGAGAACATGTTGTTTTATTGATGCTTATGTTGATAAATGCTCTTTATATTTCTTTGAGAGAATAATGTTTAGTGCCTGATTTTTTTTATAAACTTGTGTGCTTGAAAAAACCCGATTCTGATGACGTCACTGATCTTTTTTCTACCGTCAATCTGAAATCATTCTAAGAATTTCTAAGGGTCATGTTTTGTATTGGGTAGAGTAATGTAACGTTGTTTTTTTTTCCTTGAGATAATATTTCTCCAATGTCAAGCTTAAAATATCAATTAAAATTCCAAATTTTGTTCGGTTCGTTGTTGGCCCCGGAAAAATAAAACGCATACGTAAAACATGTAGAATTGGATAATAACCGTCCAAGCACAAGGATTTAATGTATTGTGTTTTTTATTAAATATACATCATGAATCTGTTTTAAAATTTTATGCTATAATAGCGTCAACGCACGTTTATTTCGTGTTATAAAGTCTGCAGAGTCCCTCAGAACTGTTGGAGCCCTCGCCCTACCGGGCTCGGGCACCAACCTTTCCTCGGGACTCTGCAGACGTTATAACACGGAAAAACGTGCGTTAACCCTATAAAATATACGCTTCATAAAGCGCCTATTGTCAGTGCAAATTTATACTGCGCCGGTGTGCGTTGCCATGTTTTTTAAATCGCTGTTACGTACAATATCAAATTAGATATGGTATGTAATAGTTACCGTACGAGGAATAGGTCTGCATAGTATTTACTGACCCGGTGGCGATTTGAAGACCGAGAGAGCGTAGCGATCGAGGTTTTTAAAAGGCCACAGGGTCTGTAAATACTATGCAGACCTATTCCGAGTGCGGTAACTATCTTACCTACATGCTCTTTTGTTTTTCTATCCATACATCAGTTTTTAACTCAGTATTTATTAATATATTACTCACAAAAAACATATTATTTATGTACTATATCATGTTTAAGAAAGCATTTTAAAGTCATGCAAAGATACCATCGGCTACGCTCTTGTAATTCATTCGTTCACAAATCAGGTGTTATTTGAATGTTCTCGTGTTTTTCTTGGGGTTTCATTATGTAATAAGGTCAGGTAATGTACTTGTTAAGTTGACAGAACTTGTCGAGAAGGCAAAGGTAAGATCATCTTTTTGATATATGAATACATAACATATTAATAATATATATTAATATTGAGGAAGATAAAAAATGTTTTCTAATCATAAAATTTTCTAATCATAAAAACGGAACACTTTATCTTTATATGTAATAAATTTCATGATAAATAAATGATCTGGCTATTTCTAATATAACTAAAATATACGATTTTTTCAAAGGAAAGTAAAAGACAGGGTTCTATATAGAGGATATTGAATGAGTGTAGGTTTAATACTAAATTTATTGAACGAGTTGAATAAAATCATATTATGCGAGCCTCTGGCGAGCATAATATTTTTTTATTCAACGAGTTCAATAAATTTAGTATTGAATCTACACGAATATAATATTCTATTTATCACATATATAAAATAAGAACGGTAAACTGTTAACAAGAGTAATTTTTCTTTGACGCGCCTATAGCACCGTAGGGAACGTGTTACAGTATCGCGTTTTCCGGTTACAGTATAGAATTTTAAAGATGGAGGATTATTTGTTGGGAGGACAGGTAGGTGTTTTTATGCCGGTCCATACGTCAAGTAGTTTAGTTTCTAAAAGATGTTTTTGTGCTTTGCTTGTAAGGAACAGAATCCGGTATCTAGTCATATATTTCTTCAGACTCTGCACCGCAGATTTATCGCTATATTGTCTCATAAATGTGCAGATTTGACAGTTTGAAAATTTGAATCGAGAGACCAACGCATTTTTCTCCAATTTCGACATTATTTATGCATGCCTAGAAAAAGTAAATCTGCAAAACGTTAGTCCTTTATGTTAGGAAACGTTTATAAAAGTAAATGACCAGTTGAACCTATTTTCCTGTTCGTTAAATGCGTTTGAAAAAATAAACAATGTTACAGTATAGAGCGAGGTGATTTGTGCAGGGTTACAGCATAGACCTAGCGACTTTGATCCGATTTTGTTACAGTTTATACCCAGATTTCGGTTACAGTTTAGACTTCGATATTTTCTATATATACTAGGTAAAATGTATGAATGTTACATAGACTTTTAAATCTTTGTGAGCTTATTGGCCCGATGGCTATTCGTCCGTCTGTCCGACACATGTGTGTGCAATCTCATCCGCTCAGTAACTACTTGACTAAATGTGATGAAATTTACATAACTTTCTACCAATTAAGTTGTTCAAATGGTTTCGGTTGCAATCGGGGATACGGAAACCCAAAACATAGATTTTGAAAAAGGCAATGTTTAAAGACCTTTCTCATCTCGAACCAAAAGCATTCAAATCAAATCATGATCATGGCGTCAGTTCGAATGCTTCTTTGTTGAAGTTACGATTACTTTGTCATTATTAAATTTAAAGTCGTTTTTTTTAGTATAGCAGTTTTCATGTTTCTGATTGAAAGTTATAGAGTATAAATTAAGGTCAGACAATTACAATATCTTCTCTAGTGAGTCTGATGGAGGTACATAATAGTATAGTGGCAGAGTCGGGATAAGGCCGTCGACTTCAAATGAAATCCAATCATGACTGGATTCTTTGTATGTGAGGAATCTATCAAGCTAATTTACGGAAGGTCGGTGGTTCTAGTCAGGTGTCCGCTCGTGTCTGAAATGTTTCACAAAGGGTATCTTGGGTCTTTCTTTACACTAAAGCAGGAATGTTTTCACATGACCTCAGTGTCGTTGAAACTTAAAATCCAAGAAAGCTAAACGTAACAAACTCTTTTAAATATTTACAAGATGGAAATTCCAACTTAAAATAAAATTTAAGATTGCAGTATTGCTCACTTAAATATTGTTTAATCATTCCTAGGGTATTGCCTGCTTGTTAATTGTGTCTTTTGACAGCTTATGTATGGTATGCAGGCTTTATAACCTCCGATCCCCTCTCAAAATTTCATTTTATTTAGTTTCGCTCATTGTATTCTCGTTTAGGGCACACGCAAATTTTAACCTGGGGGTAATATGCCGCTTTTCATAGAATGGCAATAACGTGTCACATTGAAGGTTCCATGATAACCGCCATATGAACACATCCACAGATGTTAAAAAAATCTAAAGTGTACCAGTTCATGTTTAATGTGAATTCTGCTGAAGCCGGTGCTAGGAGGTGTGGACGGTAGCTTGCAGTTACCACTATCGTCCATGAACAGGTTTAATCAAACTGAGCCTGCAACATTTTCATGTTCTCCGTGTTGGACTTTTGTTAAGGATTCTTTTTTCTCTATTTTATTACTAATAGGCAATATTATAATGTATAATGAAATCAAGCAATAATCTTTCTTCTCTCAATACAATACGATAAAAGTTACTGTTGTTGTCGTGCAGACAGTCCTTACTTAGGACATTACTTATTCTGCAAAAAGTCTCAAAAAATAGCAAACTATAACTTTTCTGCTGAAGAAAAAAAGTAGTACAACCTTTCAAGAATGTAAGAAAGGTATGACTTATTTCATAAAAATAATGGATACACGAACTTTTTTTGAAATTTGGCAAGTATCTAAACTGTAACCGTACTTTTATAAACGTTTCTAAACACAAAGGACTAACGTTTTGTAGATTTACTTTATCTAGGCATGCTTAAATAATGTCGGAATGGGAGAAAAATGCGTTCGTCTCTCGATTCAAATTTTTAAATCGTCAAATCTGCACATTTATGAGACAATATAGAGATAAATCTGCGGTGCAGGGTCTGAAGAAATATATGACTAGATACCGGATTCTGCTCCTTACAAGCAAAGCACAAAAACAAATTTTAGAAACTAAACTACTTGACGTATGGACCGGCATAAAAACACCTACCTGTCCTCCCAACAAATAATCCTCCATCTTTAAAATTCTATACTGTAACCGGAAAACGCGATACAATTCTGCAGTACGGGATATATACGCCGATTATATTATTGGTGCATATCGAATCAAAGTCAACTTCTGTATATATTACTTTCAGTGAGGGTATAGTTCATCTTAAGTATAAGACAGTTTTTTTGCTCATTTTCCCCCCAGCTTTTTTACATTACAATTTGGATTTTGTATATCAGTACTCGCCTGTTCTTCGCAAGAATACGACTTGCGCTTCTATTCTAGATTGCGTGCTTACATGCGGTCTTAATCAATCATATGAATAACGGATGATGCTAATTAAGAATACACCGAAAGAAAAATTCTTCCAAATATGAATGAAATTCTTAGAATAATTAAA